TTTCGTAACAACGCATTTATGCTTTGGACAATTTTTTGAGGTATAATCTTGTGTGTAAGTTAGTCATTTCTTATTTATTATTCAATGTGCAAAGTAACAATAGCTTTTTAACCCGAATTGTGGGTTAGTGTTATGTTAAATTAATTATATTTGACATTATATAAAAATCACAGACACAATTTTACTGGAAACTCTGGAGGTCACCTCAGGGTCATGATTTGAGCCCAGAACAGATATCTAAGATAATATTTATTGGTCAGGGACAAAATTGGCACGAAGACTGCCAGCAGAGTATAAGGCTTTATTAGGGTCGTTCACTGATCACCTGGCGTACGGGATCTAATACTGACATTTCACAGGGATAAAGGACCCGCGGGGATATGAGTTCGTGTGAGACAAATGTAGTTGATAAATTATATCATTATCTAGTATGAGTTTATACTTGTTTCCCCTTTGTCATACATTATTTACATAGACAACAGGTACTAAATTGTGAACGAAGGCTCTGGTTGGCTGATTCAATCATTATGATTTAGCCAGTACAGTTACTGTATAGTCACTAGAATACAAATGATAACATCATATTATAGCTTCAATAATCATAAAACGTCGACTGTACGAAATATTTTTATTAGAAGGCAGCTCGTTGCCGTAGATCAGCTTTACTTACTGGTTGACGTACAGTACAGTACAGTTCATTATCCCGCATTACATGATTAAGAATAGCGTATAACATTATAAATTATATTACCTATAAAGCTTCCATAATTGAGCGTATAGGCTTAAGTTTATTCCATGTTAACTGAAATAAAATATAAACCAGCACGATATTTTTTAGCGGCTGGAGACTAGAGGACCAGCCAGTGCGGGTGTGTACAGTACCTGTTGTCTCTGCTGCAGGGAATCAGTTTAACATGAGTCAGCTCAGCAAGACTAAAGTATTCACGAACAAAAACTCTCATAACAAACAAAATTCTAAAGAACAAACAACGAATTATATTCAATCCCTTTGTCGTCATTTTAGGTAAAGATTAATTTTAGAATAGTTGAACTTAAAAATTAGACGACTTGTGAACAGGGACATGAACGAGAAAGATAGATGTTGAAGAATTTTATCTACAACGGATAAAGAGGAGTATGAGGCTGTCCTAAGAGGGTAGGTTGCCGTAGGTCGCTAGATCTGCCCGGTATTGTTCTTTTGACTATTGCTCTGGTCACGATAAAAAATAAATAAAAAAAATATTATAGTGAAACAATCAGTAGCTGCTATTGAGCGTTGACGTTACTACGCTTCAACAACTAAGGTCTTTAAACGCGTAATAAAATAATTCAAGGGGATTATTATCAACATTACAAGTTGTGAGAGATAGAACTAACTCCCTTTAGAGTATAGTTACTCTAGAGTCTAGAGAAACCACTGAGAGGCACGATAGGTAATAATAATAATAATAATAATAATAATAATAATAATAATAATAATAATAAAAATAACAACACTAGATAAAGCTACTCAACAACCACCAAGGCATAGTATTTATCACATTTAAGTCATTTTAAGTAGAGTATAACAATTGTTCAGTAAAACAACTTAAAGATTATATTTTACACGCCTGTATATCATGAACAGGAAGAACAGTGGTAAATATTAACAAAGTTTACATCAGTATTAGACGGGATTATATAACATGATGCACGTGTACAGTACAATACATGTTGGTCGGGTGCACACGCTCCAAAAAAGTATCTTCACAGTCGAGTTGTTAAAATCCTTCGTCTGTTGTCATATTGTCTCACACAAAATCAATATATATATATGTCATATTGTCTCACACAAAATCAATATATATATATATATATTTATTTATTTATTTATTTATGTATTTATTTATTTATTTTTTTGAGCGAGTTACACCGTCACCACTGTTTACTGTACCATCCTTGCTACATACTCTGTAACTTTATAAATTATTAAAACTTTTTTGAGTTGAACCTAACCTTATGTTGTGTGCTGATACATCTAACACACTGGAACACGTTCATGTATTATAAGAATAAAAAGTTTATAACAAGATCACATCAACCGCTCAAATGACTTTAGGTTAGGTTAATGTTTTTAGGTTATATAAAGTAAGGTTATGTTGTGTTAAGTTAGGTTATGTTGTGTTAAGTTAGGTTAAGTTAGGTTAGGTTAAGTTAAGTTATATTGTGTGAGATTAAGTTAAGTTAGGTTAGGTTTGCATTAGACGAAATTATAAATCAATAATAGAGTTACACCATATAATATACCTCGTTAATATTTCTTGTGGAAGTGAACATAGTAACGTGCTTGAAGACCTTAGCTGGTGACGCACACTTCAGTAATATCAACAACAAAGCCCAGTGAAATATTAGGATACATAGGGGCTGACGTGAAGATTAGACACTCCTCCTTATTTTACCTAACTGATGAATAAACCCCCTAATGAGTCATGTTTGGTTGAGGTAGGTTATGTTATGTTGGGTTAGGTTAGGTTAGGTTTGTTTATGTAAGATTGTGTTAGGTTAGGTTTGGTTATGTAAGGTTAGATTAGGTTAAGTTAGGTTTGGTTATGTAAGGTTAGAATAGGTTAGGTTTAGTTTGGTTATGTAAGGTTAGATTAGGTTAAGTTAGGTTTGGTTATGTATGGTTAGGTTTGGTTAAGTTAGGTTTGGTTATGTATGGTTAGGTTTGGTTATGTAAGGTTAGATTAGGTTAAGTTAGGTTTGGTTATGTATGGTTAGGTTTGGTTAAGTTAGGTTTGGTTATGTATGGTTAGGTTTGGTTATGTAAGGTTAGATTAGGTTAAGTTAGGTTTGTTTGTGTAAGATTTTGTTAGGTTAGGTTTGGTTATGTATGGTTAGGTTAGGTTTAGTTATGTAAGATTAGATTTGGTTGGGTTAGGTTAAATGTGGTTATGTTCTGTTTGGTTATGTTAATTTGTCGCTAGGTTAGGCTGTTTAATGTAAAGGTGAAATAAGCTGGAGTGTTTAATCCTCATATTAATCCCTCCAGAATTTAACATAGGGGTGAGGCATGTCGGCTTTAACAAGAGTATATGCACAGTATTTACAAAAGTTCCCTAATGTTTGTGTTTATACAGAATTTCCTTGTGAAAGTCATTATCTTCACGTTTTTAACTCGCCCCAAAAAAATATCTTCACGGAGGGTCGATGAATTTCATAATGAACACTGTGACTCCTGTTGTCTCGGTAGGGTTGTCCAAATCCTTCGTCCGTTGTGTCATATTGTCTCACACAAAATCGTAAAGTTATTTTTTTGGAGTGGGTCATGCATAGTTATTTTCCGGTCATATCCACCGCGACTTTAGACATACACGGACAGCGGACATGGTGAAATGGGTACAGTGCACAGAAACCCATGTCTTGGTGTTCTAACTTCCTCCTGGGATTCTTGTAAACACAGACAACTAGGGGTTTTGCAAACACACTGAACACGTGAGCAAACAACTTATAACAGGTGAGGACAGCGAATACAACGTCCTGAGAGAGAGAGAGAGAGAGAGAGAGAGAGAGAGAGTCACTAATACCGTTGTTATTATTGCTCTTCATCATTTAGATATAAAACTAAAGAGGGTAAAACAAATCAAATCTTCTCAAGATTTGTAAAAACAATTAAAATAAATCATGACCACATAACTGTTGCATCACCGCCCACACACAAAACATACATAAGCATACACAGACACAAACACACATACGCACACACACACACACACACATCATGCGGCGGGTGTGTTTGTATGTGTATGTATGTGTGTATGTATGTATGTATGTGTAGCTATATACAAAGGTGAGTCTTGTTTCCATGATGAAAAATAAAGGTTTTCCCTCACTTTAAGAAGGTGTTCCAACAGGCTCTGGTCCGGCTCTTGATTTATTCCTGTTATAGAGCCGGATATATACAGTACAGTGCATCTGTGTCGTGACAGTGAGTTATGTGACGAGCCGGATGTAACATGGCAGCAGGCAAGTTCGTCATCTGATAACTTAACCCTAAGATTGTTAAATTAGCTGTAGTTAAGTTGGGTTTGGTTAAGTCTAGATAAGATACTGTAGGTCTGGTTAAGCTAGGTCTGGATTAAGTTTAATCTTTTTTAAGTTAGCTGTGGTTAAGTTTGGTTAGGTTAGATTTGGTTAGGTTAGGTTTAGTTAAGTTAGGTCTGGTGATTCATGTAAGCTATCATTCAATGTCGTGTACATTCAGGTGCGGATCCGTGAATATTAAAAGGGGGGGAGGGGGTAGGGGGTCCGAGAAGTTGTAGGTGGGGGAACATGGCGAACACAGCGAGCAACATCCACTTTGAGGCCATGTGCACTTGAAATTAAGAGATATTCTGAGTATAATAATGCATTAAAGTAAAAGTATTGGAACTTTCTGATGAAAAGAGGAGTCCGAACCCCCCGGGACCCTCCATGGACCCGCCCCTGACACTGGCTATGATATTCCCGGCCCTGAAACAGAACAAACCGTGAGAGCCGGACTTGAGGTCGACAGTGACGGACTTTTCTCACTTACAATAATCTTCTTCACTTATGATCAAACAGAGAAATTAATACTGAATAGTTTGTCTGTAGTAATTAACAATGATACAATCGAAAAAAAATGACTAGCACTACAATTTGTATATAACATGTGTCTTTGTGTATACTGTATATATTTGGTTTATATATATTTATATTTATATATGATGAATAATACAAATCGGTGTATATATCTTCACAAATAAACTTTAGCACACGTTGAAAAAAAAACACAATAAAAAAAGGCTAATGAGTAAAATGACCGAGATGGTTAATGATACAAAAATAGGACTTTGCCCAGGTTAATGAGGCTGTGGCGACGTCAGGTGTTGAGGGTTGTTGACACTTAACCACCCTTCACCCCTCACCCCCCTTCTCTTGCCGCCCCCACCTCCAACCCCCCCCCACCCATCACGGCACCCACCCACCCCCAACTCCCCTCCTCTCCTTGTTCCTGTGAGCTGGTCAAACACACACACACACACACATACTGTACACATACGCACGTCAATCAGGACAGGAACACAATAAGCGCCTCAATTAGTCTCCATTCACCACTGTACCAACACCACCACTGTACCGACACCACCACTGTACCAACACCACCACTGTACCGACACCAAGGAATATTACAGTGACCAATATACCAAAACTCCTGATTGGTGTCTTAGTTCAGGGTCTGGCCTGGCTATACGACATGTCAGCTTCTTCCTTGTGGCTGAAGCTTACAACAAGTGGGTTACCAGTGCAGGCTGAGGGCGGGCGAACATCATCATGGGTAGGAGGGGCGAACGTCAGCCAGGTGATACTGGTCGGTAGTGCTGGCATTGTGGGGTGGTTACTATTACGGCAATTAAACTATTTGAGACAACCGAAACCTTCCCACGAGTGACGTCTTGGGTCTCTTAGCCAATAAGAAGGCACTTGATTCGATTTTAAGGGGATACAAGATGCAGACATTTCTTAACATAGTCCTCATCACTTGTTTCTTGACTCGCCGCCGTGATGGTGTACTGTCTGTCGAGGGGCGGCGCCCACCACCACTCATTCCACCCGATATGGTATTAAAAACAACTAATATCCAATCTAAACTTATCACCAATATCAAAATATTCATTAAGTTGCACTAGAAAATGCTAGATAGTTATTTTGTTTTCTTCTTCACTCTTTGTCTCATTCCCCAGCTACTTATGCCCTTCTAGAAGACAAGTCAGGTGTCCCTCTGTCTGTATGTCCTTCTGTCCGAGCCAACCTTCGCGCCAGCCTGAACCACTGTCCAAAACCACATCTTGAACCTCAGTTAGTGGTTGAGAGGTACCATGTGCTAGGTGGTTGGTTCTGCAGTAGCTTGTTTCTTGGCTGTGGTAGTTCATGCTGAGGAGAGTGGAGTTGGTGAAGGCCGGGGGGGGTATCACAGTCACTGAGTCGCTGCTGTTTCCAGGTTTGTTGACATTCCGTGAGACGTGTCTAGCGAGTGTAAACAATAAACACCTCTGAACGGAATCGCATTACCGAAATGTTTTTACAAACTCACAGCTTCCCGTCACAATCCACTTCTCCATTTCACACTCTAACATCGCCTGATTGTACTTCTTCAAACCAGCACAAGATTTGTCACTAATCTGATTTGAGTTATAGTTTGAAACAATGATTAATATACGTAGTAAAAAGGAGGATTTTTCTTTTTTAATGTTGTTCCGTCCGGTCCCTCAGTCGCCACTTCTCTCGAGCGCTGCGGGATTGAGCACTATCTCACTGTTTTGTCTTCTCATGGTGTGAATGTCTGGTAGTCTGGGCACTTTCGACGCCTGGAATATGAGAAATATAAGCCATTAATTGTCTATTCTTTCTTTGTAGGAATGAACTGTGTGGCATTGAAACAAGAACGTTTCATCCTCACAGACTTTACCTAATATGAACGAATATGGTCTAGAGCCTAGCAACTTTGTTATTGGTCTAGTATTATTATTAGTAATATTATTATTATTATTAATATTATTTTTATTATTATTATTATTATTATTATTATTATTATTATTATTATTATTATTATTATTATTATTATTTTTATTAAGGACTATAATTACCATCATTTTTCTCTTGCGTTCTATATTTTTTATGCTAATGTTCAATAAAGGTTTCGTACGCCTCACCTTTTGCTACAATAAAATAACAATAACTGAAGGCAAAACTGGATTCATGAACTGTGATTTCTCAGCCTGTCTGGTGAAGTTGGTTTTGAACTCTTGTAAGTCATTGAGGGGAATTAATATTAGTTTGGGATGCTTTAAGTGTAGTTGGGGCAAGTGCGAGAGAGAGAGAGAGTCAAGGGGCGGTATATGAACTCACTGTGGACACACGACTCTGAGAGGAGGAAGGCCTTGAACCCATGTATCCACTACCCAGCCGTTGTCTGGGCGTGACCCCTTCACTGATCTCGTCCATGTACTCGACGTGGAGGCCCAAAGCTGCATCGTCTTCGCCTTCGTCGTCGATGAAGTTGGGGATGGTTGAGTGGATCCGTCTCGCTGACTTGGAGGTGATGCGGAGAGCTTCTTGCTGGTCATCCTCTTCTTCGTGTTTCTCCAAGGGATGAGGAACCTGCTGCTGGCCTTGCTCCTGTTGGCCCTCCGTCGTCGCGTCCTCAGCTAGGGTCTCGCGGGATGGAGACAACAAAGCTTTCTCGTCCAGCGGTTTGTTTTTGCTGAGGACAAGATGTTGAGGTTACTGATGTGACTTTGTTTGTGTATATGTGTTGTGTATGTGTAGATAGATAGATAGATAGATAGATAAATAGATAGTTAGATAGTATTGAACACCCCAGGGTAAACAAAAAACCCTCTCCATTATGACCCTTAACGATGCATTTCAATTAAAAAAAATCTAAATTCTCCACACTTTCCCCCTCTCCCTCCCCCCAACACACACACATCCTCGTTGCTTCTACTTACCGGCAGCAGGCGGGGGGTGAGCAGAAGAAGAGGCGCAACAAGCAGAAGAGGAAGCCACATCCTATTAGACTGGGTCCTATGAGTCGCAGCTCAGGGGACTTAAAACCGTGTTCTCCTATCCCGACGAAGGTAATGGTGAGTCCTGTAGGAGATGACAACATGACTCTCTCTCTCTCTCTCTATTTCTTTCTTTCTCATTCCACCATCTCTCTCGCTCCCTCCCTTTCACTCTTACACACACACACACACACTCTTTTTCTCCATTCCCACTCTCTCCCTCCTTCTGAACTATCCCCACTCCCTCCTCCCCATCCCTCCCTCCCTCCTCCCGATCCCTCCCTCTCAACCATCTTCACTCACTCACATCCACCTTTTCTCTCCCACTCACTCTCTCCCTCCTTCCCATCCATCTTCTCTCACTCACTCACCTAGAGCGAAAAGTCCTAGGCCAACATACAGCACGATGTTGACGACCCCTGTCTGGCGGTACTCTCCGTCTGGTCTCTTCTCCAGGGTACCGCCACCGGCTGCGTCTCCCACCTGTTGACATCAAGGTGAAGTGTCAGGTAATTAGGCTAACATATAAGGTAATTGTTAGGTGAATAGGGTAAATTTAGATAGGTGTAAGGTAACTATAAGGCAAAAATAAAAGCAAGGTAAGGTAAGGTAGAAATTAGACAAGGCAAGTTAAGGTCAAGTTAGTTGAAAAAAATAACGCACGGTTAGGTTAGGTTAAGTTAGGTCAGGTTAGGATGGGTTGGGTTAGGTTGGGTTAGGTTAGGTTAAGTCAGGTCAGGTTAGGTTGGGTTAGGTTGGGTTAGGTTAAGGTTCGGTTAGCTTAGGTTATGAATGATACTGACACGATTAGACTATTTTTAGGGTCCTTTCTCGCGTCTCTCCTACACACGGTGAGATAAGACTTGTTGTTATGGGCGTAGAGAGACGTGGCTTTTGTTATGGGCGTAGAGAGACGTGGCTTTTGTTATGGGCGTGGAGAGACGTGGCGTGCAGAGAGACGTGGCTTTTTGTTATGGGCGTAGAGAGACGCTTTTAGAGAGACGTGGCTTTTGTTATGAGCGTAGAGAGAGACGTGGCTTTTGTTATGGGCGTAGAGAGACGGGCTTTTGTTGGCGGGCGTAGAGAGACGTGGCTTTGTTATGGGCGTAGAGAGACGTGGCTTTTGTTATGGGCGTAGAGAGACGTGGCTTTTGTTATGAGCGTAGAGACGTGGCTTTTGTTATGAGCGTAGAGAGACGTGGCTTTTGTTATGAGCGTAGAGAGACGTGGCTTTTGTTATGGGCGTAGAGAGACGTGGCTTTTGTTATGGGCGTAGAGAGACGTGGCTTTTGTTATGGGCGTAGAGAGACGTGGCTTTTGTTATGGTCTTTTTCTCTTTTGTTTTTCCCTTTTATCCCCTCAAAAAAAAATTGTTCGTATATAATTGAGGCAACATTATTTATTGGTCCATGTTATAAAAGATACCACGCACAAGACTGTTAAACTTGTTATTTTTTTAAGCAAGCTAACCTAACCTAACCCAGCCCAAATTACCCTAGAACTATTGGGTTAGGTTGGGTTGTTTGGTGTCATCGTCTACTTAGAATTAACAACTAATCTTAACCTAATTTAACCTGTTCTAACGAAAATTTAACTTATCATCGTTAGGTTTGATTAGGTTACATTCTGGTAGTTTGTTTAAAAAGAACTTGATCAATATATTAGCAGTCCCAAAACCAATGCACAAACACAGGGTCAAGGCACTCTCACATTCTTACCCATAGGCAATAAAACACTCATAAAAAAAAACACAAGTATACAGACAGAACAATTAATAAATAGAAGAATGCAAGACCAAACTATATTAAAAAAAAAGTTCAACACATGTCTTGGTGTATCAGAGACGGAAGTGTGTGTGTGTGTGAGGGAGGATGGGCATCACCTCGGTATTATAATTATCATTTCTTTTGCTTCAATTAAAATTCTGGGGTATTATTAGTATCCTTTTCAGTCATCCAGCGAGTTTTAGGATTTTAAGTTAACACCGTCCGAGAGATATTTAGGTTAGGTTAGGTTTTTGCGATGGTTTTTGATGTGTTTTGAACGACCTACTTCCAAATAGGTAGGTGAACGAAACGATAATTTTACCAAATTCTGAATCATATACAAATATAGAAAAAATAATGTAATAAATAAAATATCAATATCATGGCAGGAAAAGCATTGAATTCAACAACAAACATCAGTGTGTCTTAGGAGATGTAGATGACCTGTTTTGTGGTGGAAGTGTCTCTGGTAGTAATATTACGACAACTTCTTCATGATTATAGACAAAGAAACACAGGCACACACACACACACACACACACACACACACTTAACTAATACGCAAATCATAAGGTTCACCTGAAGATTAGACACTCCAGCTTATTTCACCTGGTAATTAAACACCCTAGCAATACCTGAGGGGGTTAGGTTAGGTTAATCTAGGTTTGGTTGGATTAGATTAGGTCAAGTTAGGTCAGGTTATGTTAATCCAGATTAGGTTGCGTTAGATTAGGCCAGGTAATGTTAATTTAGGTTAGGTTGGGTTAGATTAGGCCAGGTCTGGTTAGGTTAGGTTAGCGTTGGTTTATCAATAGGCGAAATAAGCTGAGGTGTCTAATCTTCAGGTGAACCAACACTACAGTGAGAGAAGAGACCAAGTACGGTAGAGTCGATAAGGTTTACACTCCACCTTGGTTAATATCCTCTCACCAGACACCTTGGGGGCGTTCGTCTCTCATAACGCACACGAGGAGAAACACTGTCAGAGGTTCCTACGATGAATATCCCTCGTTACTGAAGCTCTTGCAATGTAAAACACCCCTATCACCCAGTTCCCTAGCCACACGAGCAAGGGAGACGCGATAAAAGGGGGTAGGAACACGCCTAGAGACGACTGAACACTGCGACTCCTCTTGTTTCGGTAGTGGTTGTCAAAGTCCTTCGTCCGTTGTGTCATATTGTCTCACACACAAAATCGTATAAAGATACAGGTTGACTTGATCTAAAAACACAAAAAGACAACATCAAAACACGCTGAGCTTCTAACCTTACCTAGACATTATTAAGGTACAGAATCTCTCTCGTGTTTTAGATGATGACGGCCAGATAACGAATCCCGGACCAGATCAACACTGTAATCCTTACCTGACCTCCGGAGTTGTGTGTGTGTGTGTGTGTGTGTGTGTGTGTGTGTGTGTGTGTGTGTGTGTGTGTGTGTGTGTGTGTGTACGCTTATCGGCATGTTTTGGTATATTAAGTTACTGGTTAAATGGGCTCCAGTCCTAATTGGCCTCAGGATTAGTGGGCCCTAATCTAACCTAACCTAACTTGAACGTAGTGATTTGGGGACGATTCCTAATACTTAAGTCACGTTAGGCTAAGTTAAGCTGGGGCCTGATAGAACTAAGGCCAATTAGGACTGGGGCCCAATGGTACAGTATAGGTCGGTTGGCTTGTACCTTCATGCAGAGACTAAAAAAAAATAAAACTTCACAATTCATGCACAAGGTCAGTCGTAATGTAGGGGGTGGTCAGAACACTGTCGACTCCCCCAACTCCCCGTCCAGAAAATTTAACCATGTTGTAAAGTACCACGAACAGGACCACAGACCCATATACTTGTACTGTACTTGTTTACACGTCTTGAGCTGATCTAACCTAACCTCACCTAACTTTATCTAACCATGTGAGTTTTAATATCGTTTGGTTAAATTTTGTTATATTAGGGAAGGTTTATCTTTGCTAGTTTAAGTTAGGTTACTTTAAGTTAGGTTTGAGTTGGGGTAGATTAAGTTAAGGTTAGGTTAGGTTAGGTTAGCTTAGCTCGTCTTGATTCCAACAAAAATAACAGGTTTGTGATGAGGTTCGTGGTAGTTTTTCCAACACTGCGTCGGGGAGGTACAGTGTGTGGTGGTCAGGGCGTAGGTGGTGGTCAGGGTGTAGGTGGTGGTCAGGGCGTAGGTGGTGGTCAGGTGTAGGTGGTGGTCAGGGTGTCAGGTGCAGGGGTGGTGGTGGTCAGGGTGTAGGTGGTGGTCAGGTGTAGGTGGTGGTCAGGGTGTAGGTGGTGGTCAGGCGTAGGTGGTGGTCAGGTAGGTGGTGGTCAGGTGGTGGCCTGTCAGGTGTAGGTGGTGGTCAGGGTGTAGGTGGTGGTCAGGGGTGTAGGTGGTGGTCAGGTGGGTGGTGGTCATGTAGGTGGTGGTCAGGGGGTGGTGGGTGGTGGGGTGTAGGTGGTGGTCAGGTGTAGGTGTGGTCAGGGGTGGTAGGTGTGTCAGGGTGTGGTCAGGGAGGGTGGTCAGGGTGTAGGTGGTGGTCACAGGTGTAGGTGGTCATGTAGGTGGTGGCCAGGTGTGTCAGGTGTAGGTCAGGTGTACATGCAGGCGTAGGTGGTGGTCAGGTGTGGTGGAGATGGTCAGGGTGTAGGTGGTGATGGTCAGGGCGTAGGTGGTGGTCAGGGTGTAGGTGGTGGTCAGGTGTGGGTGGTGGTCAGGTGTGGGTGGTGGTGTAGGTGGTGGTCAGGGGTAGGTGGTGGTCAGGCGTAGGTGGTGGTCAGGTGGTGGTGGCCATGGTCAGGTGTAGGTGGTGTGGTGGTGGTCAGGGTGTAGGTGGTGGTCAGGGTGTAGGTGGTGATGGTCAGGGTGTGGGTGGTGGTCAGGGGTGTAGGTGATGGTCAGGGGTGTAGGTGGTGGTCAGGGTGTGGGGTGGTCAGGGTGTGGGTGGTGATGGTCAGGGCGTAGGTGATGGTCAGGGTGTAGGTGGTGATGGTCAGGGCATAGGTGATGGTCAGGGTGTAGGTGGTGATGGTCAGGGTGTAGGTGGTGGTCAGGTGTGAGTGATGGTAGGGTGTAGGTGGTGGTCAGGGTGTGGGTGGTGGTCAGGGGTGTCAGGGGTGGTCAGGTGTAGGTGGGTCAGGTGTAGGTCAGTGTAGGTGGTGGTCAGGTGTAGGTGGTGGTCAGGTGTAGGTGGTGATGGTCAGGCGTAGGTGGTGGTCAGGTGTGGTGATGGTCAGGGTGTAGGTGGTGGTCAGGGTGTAGGTGGGTGGTCAGGGTGTAGGTGGTGATGGTCAGGGTGTAGGTGGTGGTCAGGGTGTAGGTGATGGTCAGGGTGTGGGTGGTGGTCAGGGTGTAGGTGGTGGTCAGGGTGTAGGTGGTGATGGTCAGGGCGTAGGTGATGGTCAGGGTGTAGGTGATGGTCAGGGCGTAGGTGATGGTCAGGGGTGTAGGTGGTGATGGTCAGGGTGTAGGTGGTGGTCAGGGGTGGGTGATGGTCAGGGTGTGGGTGGTGGTCAGGGTGTAGGTGGTGGTCAGGGTGTAGGTGGTGGTCAGGGTGTAGGTGATGGTCAGGGTGTAGGTGGTGGTCAGGGTGTAGGTGGTGGTCAGGGTGTAGGTGGTGGTCAGGGTGTAGGTGGTGGTCAGGGCGTAGGTGATGGTCAGGGTGAGGTGGTGATGGTCAGGGCGGTGGCAGTGTAGGTGGTGATGGTCAGGGCGTAGGTGATGGTGG